TTCCTTTCTCCCAATCAACAGAAACCCTGCAACCCACACAGGTGGTCCTGCGGCCGGCGACAGCTTTGCCTCCTTTGCCGGCCGTGGTGGAGGATCCTCCTGACCGGGTGGCCCCCCCTCAGCTCCCGCTGGACCAGAGGCGGCTGCTCCTCCTCTCCAGAGGAAGAGCCAAGGCAGCCCCCGCCGGGAGTGAAGTGCCACCCCAGCCACCTCTCTGCCCAGGCCATGTAGGCCCTCCTCCCCCGGAGCAGCTGCCCCACTCACCACCAGAGCGACGCCGAGGGACGAGCCCACCAGTGGCGGGCAGGGGCTGAGGGCTGCCAGCACCATCAGGTAGGCCCCAAAGACGCAACCGGCAGCCGAGATGACGCTCAAGCCCAGGGACGACCTGCAGAGAGGAGCAGGAGTTCAGTGGGAGGCGGGAGGCGGCTTGCCCTCCAGCACCACCGAGGGGGAGGTGGGGGTGTGTGTGCTCCCCACTCCAAGCTGTGTGCAAATGCCCCACCCTCACGTCGGTGGCAATCAAGGTGGGCAGTGGGAGCAGAAGGATTGGGGGGGAGGCAAGGGTCAGCAAAGAAAGCATCGCCCCCCCCCTCCTCCCAGGACAGGAGCCCACCGCGAGCAGGAGATGTGGCTTTTGCCCTCCTTGGAGAGGTTGGCCTGGGAAGACAAGAAGACCACGATGGGCTGGAAGGAGGTGCCCGCTTTGGCCCTGATCCTGGAGGAGGGCTCTGGATGACGACTCATCCGAGCAGCCTCCTTTCTGCTCCCCTGGCCGAGTCCAGGAGACTGAGCTCTACGGGTTATCCAGACAGGGACTGCCTTGAAGGCGGGACATGGGTTCAAATCCTCCCTGGGCAGCCTGGGGCCGGTTCGTCTCTGAGTCCGTCACAGGTCGTAAAGGGGAGTAAAATGAACTCATCAAAGAAGGTGGACGAATGAGGATGAAAAGTGATGCTGGCCACAAAAATACAGTCTACCCCTCCTCCCACCATAGAGAATCCCAGCTGGCCGACCCCTCTTTGGCACTTCAGCGCGATTGCGGGCCCCAGCCTTTCTGCCGGGACGATGGAAGAGTACCTCCTTCCCCATCCGCCCCTTCCCTCCCCAGTGACCAAGGGGAGGGCAAGAGCAATCATCCCAAGGACAGCTTCCTCCCCCCACGCCCTGCCCCCTTCGCTCCCATCACCTGCACAGCAGGAACATGGCGAGGAAGCAGGCCACGGGGTTGGCGATGTTGCTGAGCACCACCGAGAGGTGGTAGGCCATGTCCCCGTAGGGCAGGCAGGAGTAGCTCTGCACGGAGGGCAGGACGCCATTGGTCAGGGCGTTGGACACCCCCAGCAGAACCAGCAGGAAGAGGTTCTTCCCAGTCCAGAAAGGGGCAGGAGGCTGGGCCGGAGACTCTCCGGAGGCCCTGTCTGCCGTGCCATGGTCCGAGGTGGGGGTCTCATCTGTCTGGAGGGGGAAAGACTCCTCGGTCCCCACGCTGTCCTTGGAGCTGGTCTTCTCAGGAGGAGCGCCGCTCCGCCGGTGCCACACCACGAGGGCCAGGAAGGCCAGCGCCGAGATGGCCAGCAGGCCCACCAGCAGCCAGAAGTAGGTGTTGGCCGAGAAGTTCTCCTCCAGGTAGTGGGGCAGGGATCCGTTGCCGCCCTGGGTGTCGTTGAGGCACTCCACCTGCCCCACGCCCTGCCCCAGCGCCAGGACGCAGGGCAGGAGGGCACTCAGCCCCTGCCCGATGAAGAAGGTGCGGATGAAGAGCGGCGGGAACTGGTACATGAAGGGCAGGAAGGAGACGTTGGAGGTGCAGCAGGCCAGGGAGAGGACGAAGGTCAGCACCAGGTAGGCCAGGCTGTGCCGCTCGCCGGCCACCACGGCCGTGTAGTCCCAGAAGAGGGCCAGGAAGAGGGCAGCCACCACGGCCAGGGCCTGGATGGCGTGGATCAGCCACTGCTCCTTCAGCCGCCCGGGGGCAAAGTGGTGGGCCAAGGTGACGCTCACGGGGCCCACGTTCCCTAAGGCGATCAGGACCGACAAGTAGGCAGGGAGGTTCCACCCTAGAGAGAGAGAGAGAGAGAGAGAGAGAGAGGAAGGGATGGGGTGTTCAGCTGTTGGCCAGGATGTTTGGCACCTGAGATCCACCCCACCTTTCCCTAAAAAAGCCCCAAAGGCTCAGAAACGAGGAGGCTTTGGCCCTCTGCCGCTCAGCCCAGCTTCTGCCCCCCGCCCCCCCCCAATGGCAGGCCATGTCTTTCCTTTTCATGGCTTGTTCTTCCTTTCCACACAGCGCTGCGTCTCACCAGCCCAGACTGGTGGGAACTCTACAGGAAGCTCCCCGTTCTGCATCGGCCCTGACTCTTTCCTCTGAAACCTCCATTTCAGTTTCTACCAACTCGTATTCATCCTGTAACCTTCAGCAAGGGAACTTGTGGTAGAACCAGTCGTTCTGTCCTGGGGGACTGATTTCCAAGCATGTTCCCTGGGCCTCATGTTGTTTGCCTTTTGCTTTCCTCCACGCATTGCTTTCTTGGCTGCTTCTGACATCTTACCTTCACTGTTGCAATAAATGCTGTGAATTCAGTTCACCTATAAATGGCTTTAGGGCCTTTCTGTCTGGAGCCTCTTAGGATAACCTTCGCCCTTCAGCTTTAGCCTGTAGACCGGATGCTCCCAAGAGGGTGAGAGAGCCTCTACCATCCATTGTGGGCAGCTGGCAGTCATCCAGAGGTTGGGCTCCTACTCCCATCATCCCCTAACCACACTAACACCACTTGGATCACCGCAGGCTGCCCAGTCTTGCTTCTTGCTCAGTTTGTGCTGGGCATTTCCTGAACAGATGTCAGAGGGTGGGGTGCCCCCCCAACCATGTTTTCCTGACTCTCTCTTAGTGGCTCTGACCACCTGCTTTGCTCTCCTCTGCACCCCAAAGGAAGCCCATAAATATTTTGCCCCCCCCCTCTGTCTCCAGCTCTGGCCTTTTTAAAGCCCAGCAAGCCAGACGGGGGCTCTGTTTGCAAAAAGGGGCTTCTTCCCTTCTTCCTGAGCCAGTTCCCAATCCTGTCTGTCCGTTTCTCGCCCCCCCCGCCGCCGCCCACTCACCTTCTGGGAGCCTGTTCACCACCACAGGCAGCTCCACCCACAGGGAGTTCACAGAGACCCAAGAGCCCATCCCAAAGAGGGCTACGAGGACGTGGGTGACCACGGCCTGGCTGTTCAGAGAAGGAGAAGACATCATCTTGGTCTGGGGAGAGGAAGTGGGGTGAAGAGGAGAGGGAGAGAAAGGAAACACTTGGTCAAATCCATCCCTTCAAGGCGATCCCTTCCTCAACACCTTCTCTTGTCCTCTGCTCCCCACCCCCACTGCTTTTACAACTAAGACTGTAAGCTCTCTGGGGCAGAGCCTGCCCTCTTTTGCTTATACTGCAAACAAACCACCCTAGACATTGGTGGCACAGCCTAATTGGTCCTCCTTTGAGCCCCAGGAGAGCAGGAGACCTGCAAAATGCCTCACCCTGCAACAGAAGCCCTTCCTTTGGGGCAGTGACGTAGGCGGGCTCTGCCCGCTGGCCACCACCAGCCACGGGGAAGGAGGTTCCTGGGGGCCAAAACAGGGAGCAGGTAAAGTGCAGCATAGCCAAAGACTGGCAAAAGAGTATTCAAGACATATTATCTACTGGGTTACAACAGATACAAGGAGGGATGGAACAGTTATCTGAACAAATCAAAGACTTAGGGGCAAATAAGGCAGAAGAGAAGACAATACGCGGAGCTGACAAAACTCTTGAGAGCAAATGCAATTACTTATAAATAGCTGATACCTGAAGGCATCTTTTTTCAATTTCAATGAAAGATACAACATTAATTCGATAACGAAGGCAGAAGATTTTATGCAAAAGCAGGGGAAATGGCTGAGAAGAAAAAGAGAGCAAAAGACAGACAAGAAACAGGAAGAGGAACCATCAAGTGGTTCATCAGGACCAAGCTCAGGAAAAAGGACAGAATCCCAGCCAGAGAACCAAACAGGAAGTACCAAAGGAAAACCTACTAGGGAAACAAGAGGAGCCAAGAGGAGGAATGAAAAGCTTAATAAAGATGGATCAAATGAGCAAATAAAATAAAATAAAATTCTATCAGTTAATGTAAATGGCCTAAATTCACCACAAAAATGTAAAAGAATCAACAACTGCAAAAATTAAAATTAGATATTATATGTCTCCAAGAAAGTCATGTGAAAAAAACAGATCAATACTTATTAGAAAATAAAAGATTAGGAGAATTATTTATAGCAGCAGACTTAAATAAGAAAACGAGAGGCGTGGGAATGTATATACAAAAGGAACCGGACCCAAAATTAGTTTTTGCGTCTAAAGATGCGAGGATACTAATAGTGGAAATCCAAAACGAGGCTAAAAATGTGTTGATTGTGAATATATATGGCCCCAATGAAAACCAAGAAGCGTTTTATAATGATTTTTGAAAAGAAATGGCAAGGAGAGAATATGAGGATTACTGTACTGTATTCTGAAGGACTTTAATGTCATTTTCAATTAAATGATATAAAAGCAGGAGAAAAAAAACACCAACAAGAACATCTTTCCTACAGCTAGCAGAAGAGCTCAATATGGTTGATGCCTGGAAAACCAGATACAGTGGTGCCTTGCTTAACGATTGCCTTGTTAAACGACGAAATCGCTATACAATGACTGTTTTGCGATTGCACAATGATGTTTTAATAGGAAAATCCACTTTGTGACGATTCTTCGCATTACGACGTTTTTAAAACAGCTGATCGGCAGCTTAAAAATGGCCGCCTGCTGTGTAAAATGGCTCCCTGCTGTGTTTTTGGACAGATTCCTTGCTTTACAGGCACCGAAAATGGCCACCCCTATGGAGGATCTTCATTGGACGGTGAGTTTTTCAGCCCATTGGAACGCACTGAACGGGTTTTCAAAGCGTTTCAATGGGATTTTTTATTTCGCTTAATGAGGATTTCGCTCTGCAGAGATTTTGCTGGAACGATTATCCTTGTTAAGCGAGGCATCACAGTACTCAAGTGCAAGGGACTTTAAATTTTATTAGGATAGACATAAACTCAAGTCCAAGCGACTTTAAATTTTATTAGGATAGACATAAAAGCTAGTCAATTATTGATGCATGCTGGGTATCTTCAGTTTGGATGAAAGAAACATTGGAAGCAGACATTTTGCCTAACATTTGCAGAATTTATTTATTTATTTATTTATTTATTTATTTATTTGATTTATACCCCGCCCATCTGGCCTAAAAGACCACTCTAGGCGGATTTATACCCCGCCCATCTTAGTACAATTGGAAATGGGACCTCAATTGTCATATTGGAGACTAAATACAACACTTTAAAAAATGATACTTTTACAAAACATGTAAGAGAAGAGATAGACATATTCTTTAAACTTAACACAGTTCCAGAAGCATCAATGGTAACAGTATGGGAAACAAGTAAAACCAGGAAAGGGTTGGCATAAAAATTACAAAAAAGAAAGAGGAAAATACAGGATCCAACAAACGGCTTTATAACTGGATCTGAAATATGGACTGGAAACTAGAGATAAAAGAAGAACTAGCCGGTGGAAAGGAATGGGGAGAGCTGTTAAGGCGGAGAGTCTGGAAAAATGGTTAGATTGTTTACCAATGTGATTTCCCTTTTTAACATAATTAAGTAAGTGGATGTAAATCCTCTTTTTACACTTTCCCCACCCTTATGCCTTCCTTCCTTATTCCCTTGTACCCACACCCCAGCCCTTATTGAAAATGAATAAAAACCTTTAAAAAGAAGATGATGATGATGATGAAGAAGAACTGCCACGTGGCCCTACCTTGGGCGAAGACAACCAGCGGGAGATGCTGAAGGAGGAGGACTGACGTCTCGCAGCCTGGGCTAGGCCGGAAGGCGCTCACGGACGCCACTCCTCATCCCTAGACAAGGGACGGCAACGCTTCTCTGTAGGCAAAGACGGGCTGCTGCACACACACGGAGACGGGGCCAGGGTTAATCCGCCCTGGCGGTGGCTCGCCCACCCTGGAGGCCTCTGACGTCTGGCTTCGTTGGCAGCAACTAGAGGTTCATTAAACAAACAAACAAACAAAAAACGATCAATGAACCAGGGGATGCATTGAACGAAGGAACGGCCGCATGCATAGCAAGGGTTCGGCCACTGGGGTGCGGCTCTCACATCTCCACTCAAAAAGAAATGAAGGGAACTGACATGACCAAGAATCTGAGTCACTGGGCAGGGGAGGAGGAGGAGAGGGGAAGAGAAAGCAGCCCCTTGGGTGGGGAGGCAGAGGGAAGAAGGAGAGCTAAGCCTCGGAGGGAGAGGAAAGGGAGGCTGGGGTGAATGCTGGAGGAGGAGAAGGAGGAGGAGGAGGGCTTGGACATTCTGCCAGTACCACACTGAACCAGAGAGGGATGGGGGGGGCACCCAGGAGTTAAACTGGATGACCATTAGGGGTGGAATACTGGGGATGGGGCAGCAAGGTTACAGGAAAATTAACATCCCGCAACAGGACCAAACACAGCCTGCACGTAAAACAAGGTGTGTGCATCTTGGCTTAAAGCAGAAGCCGGCTCCCGGGCAGCCACCTGCTGCTCCCATGCTTTGTTTTCACTTGGAAATGTGCTTTGCTCAGCCGCTGCTCCCCTTGCCACACGGCTGGGGCCAAAACAGGCAGGTCAAGGACACCCCACCGGTCCCTCCTCCGGTTCTACAGGGAGGTCATGGTATTCCAACCCTCCCCAAGCTGGAGGGCGGCTGCTGGGCAGTGGACGGGGAGATGGTGTGACGGGGTCAATGGCAGCGGCCGGCCGGGGCAAGACTGAGAGCACACCCGAGGCGGAGCGGGGTCTCCCCTGCCTGCTGCCTCGGGACCCTCCTCACTTTGAAGCAGCCCCCCCAGCCGTTGCCCAGAGAACCCCCCCAATGCAATTCCCCATGATGGTCCAGCCACAAAGCCATCCCACCCTTCACAAGTTTCTTTCCAAGAATGTCAAAAGGCCTGAACTTTCGCCTTGGACCATAAGACGGGCGGCTTTCTCCTCGAGTACTACAGAAGCGGCCTGTTCGCCACTGAGATCTTTCCAAAAGGTGGGAGAGAAGGGAATATTAACAAGAAATGCACCCACCCACCCCATTTGCAGTTTTTTTTTTCCTCCTCAACCGGAAGAGATGCTCGTAAGCCTCCTATCAGGAGCATCCTTTTTGAAAAAGGTAGCCGCGATGGTCCATCTTAGGATGCAGCAGCAAAATTCAAGGCAAAACAGGACGACAACCCGCACCAGAACAGGAATTTAAAAGGCAAAACGCTGCGGCGCTTGGAAGACAAACAGATGGAAATTCTGGGCAAGCTTCCACAAGGCAAAGCCTATTTCCTGGGACAAGAGGGGAGCCAAAGCTGCCCCCTTTTGCATTAAAACATGCCCCCCCAAAGGCTTTGTGACCAGCCAGGTGGGGCTCAGAGGCAGAGCATGGACCAAGTTAAGGCGGGCAAAGGGGGCGGCTGGCCTGTGAACGGTTTGTGGCTGCTGCCCCCCCCATCAGGAGGTCAGTCGTTTCTGGGGAAGGACCAGAGTCCGCAGAGAGTGACAACTGTTGTAGATACACCCACAAAATGTGACAGGATGCTGGGCTACTACTATGATCCCATCGAAAAGACGCACGGAGGAAATGAGAGGCCGGACCGCAAGGCCATTCACTTCTGCAAAGCCCTTTTCTCACTGGCCTGAGCGACAGGCCCCCAGAACCCATGCTTCCTTCAAGGTCTCTTGGAACACCGGATTTCCTGGCGGCTATCCTACTTCCGGGGGAGCCATTTTTTCAAAGGGATGTGTAAGAGGAGGACTGAATCAGCTGAGCAGATCTGGACAGATAACGCTTTGGCCAGACACTCATATCCCATTGAACTGGAAGGTTCTGTGCTGAAGGTTCCAGTTTTGCTCATCAGGAAAGGCTGCAAGCAGCTGGAGGTTCTCTCCTGCAAACAAAATCCCACAACCATCCCTGGGGGNGGGGTTCAACCTTTACTTCAGCCTGAGTGGGGCAGAGACCATTGCACCTGGGCTGCCAGAAGCCACCTGTGTGAAGAAGCAAAGCCGTTTCTCCGAGCCAGGGGCGGGTCAGCAGCAGGCCAGGCTCAGCGCCTGAGGCCTGCTTCACTGGAACCTCAAGAGTAAGAAGTGTACAGGAGCACAGTGGGAATCGGCCTTATCAAAGAATCATGGGCTTGGAAGGGGTCCGTAAGGCCCTCAAGTCCAACCCCCTGCTCAGTGCAGGAAGAGAAATCAAAGGAGATCTGCCAGGTGGTTGTCTTTTAGGTTTCTCTCGATGGCCTCCCTCCAGGGTTGGAGCCCTGCTCACCACCTCTCGACTTCCACAGTCGTAGGGCTCTAACAGTTTGGAGGTTTTTCCTTCATATTCAGCCGAAGCGTGGCTTCCTCTAACTTGAGCCCATGGCTGTGTGTCCTGCACTCTGAGATGATGATCGAGAACAGATCCTGCCCCTCCTCTGTAGGGCAGCCTTTCGAGGATTCGAAAAAGGCCACCCGATTATCTCCCCTCAGTCTTCTTTTCTCAAGGGGAAACTGGCCCGTTTCTCTCAGCACGCTGAGGGAGCAGCAGGAAGGGGTTCCCTTTGCCCAATGATCTTGTTGCCCAGATTGACAACTGGGATTCACCAGGACTGGAGCCAGTTCCCCCCCCCACAGCCCTGGCTAGAGAAGCCACGTGCTGAGCCCGAGACCTTCCGTGTGCCAAACACCCCTGGCGCTATGTCCCCTCCCTTGAGAGCAGGCAGAGAGGATGATGCCGCTTGGCCCAAAGTCATCCACAGGCTTCTTGTCCCATGTGTTTACTCAGCTTCAGAACAGAAGGCCTACATTTCTACATATTTCACAAATCTTGCCGAGGGCGCTGTGCTGTAAAGACCCGGACATACCGACCAGGCAGCCTGCACAGGGGAAAAAAAACGCTCTCCACAGACTCTGTGCTCAGAGAGCAGAAAGCAGTTGGGGACGTTCTTCAGAAGAGGCCCCCGTCTCGTCCCTCCCTGCCCTGCTATGTTGAAGCCGGACAAGAAGGGCAGAACCAGCAACAAAACTCCGGGGGAAATGGCTTAACTCTGCAAAAATATGGTGCTTCAACATGTGTGCGTTTTGCAAATTCCTGTTCCTGCTTACAGCTACAAACCTGCTGCCGAGGACGGCCGAGCAACCCTGTCCAAATATCGCGGGGCTGCCCCACGGACACCCCCAGAGACTCTGGATGGGCTGCTGAAAGCCAAGCATGAATGCAGCCCTGATCTCGCCAGCCCCTGGCATCCATGAGGGAGGGAGGGCCCTACCAGCCTCCCTTCCCCGGTGGCATTTTTATGACAGAACGGAAACGGCAGGCAGGGCTGATTCACCAGAGAAAGAGCAAGCTTTGGCTTGCTTTTACTTAACGGGGATTATTACGAATTCCAAAAAGGGTGCCATGGCAACGGCTCTCCTAGCCAAAAGCCAGCCCCAGCAAGCCCAGGACCTCCCCTCTTCAGTAGATTTCAAATCCATTGGTGCACACGCAGCAGCCGGGCCAAGAGAGCTGCCTGCTGGGTCAGCTCCTCCGTGCCAGCGCTCCGGGGGACAGGAAGATGGGAGCAAAGAAAGCTTGGGGCACAGTGGGCAAGAGGCTGCCTGTTCGGTTCCTGGAACCTCCAGGAAAAAGAAGGGGAAACGCCTCTCCGTGAAGCCCTGGAGAGCCACGGCTTAGAGAGGCAAGCCATTCCTGGGGTTTTTTTTTCTTACCTCCTGCCAGTCTCACGTGCTGCCACCGCCTCCAGAAGGCCGCAGAGCCAGAAGCATCATCCTGAGGTGGACCACCAGGGAACTGGATGCGAGAGGTCCCACGAGGCCACGGAAATGCCAGGCGTCTTCTGTCGCGAGGAGAGCCTTTCCAAGAACCCTGAAAACACAGATCCGGTCAGCAGCAGAAGCAAAACTCAGCGCGGCCCCATGGGACCGGAAGTGGAGGTGGGGACGTCTAGGTCCATCTAGGTCCCAGGAAGAAAATCCTGCCTCTGCTCCCTCTCTGGGCGGCGGTCAAACCGAAAGGCCTGCTCTCAGCCAGCTCTTGAAACAGCTCTCCATTCCACCCGCTTTCCTCCATGCCAGGCAGCCGTGGCTCTTCCTCCTGGAAGACTCCCCAGATGCTCAACGGGGCAAACAGACTTTGCTCGGCAGCCCTTCAATGATTAATGGCCGTGTTCAGTGGGCGCTGCCTCAAAAGTTGGTTAATCCTGTTGCCCAAGGGAGGGGGGGAGGAGGGGAGAAGGATGTGTGCGTGGTGGGGGGAAGAAAGCAAAAAGTTGACAGCTGCACCTCAAGGGAGAAGCTCTGCACCATCACATAAAGGGCACGATTTAGGAACACGCCTAAGAACAGGAAGCAGAGCGCAGGAGGGGGGCAGGCAGGTGCAAACAATGCGTGGAAGTCACAAGGTGTCCCTCCTATGGATCCCTACAGGGGGGATTTTGTTTTGTTTGGTTCCAAGTGGGTTTATATGGAGGGGCGGGCAAGCGCTGAAGTGGCTAAATCCGTGGTGCGGGGGGGATTTTGTTTTGTTTTGTTCCAAGTGGGTTTATATGGAGGGGCGAGCAAGCGCTGAAGTGGCTAAATCTGTGGGGTTATTTTCAGATTGTTCATCTC